ATTGTTTTTAATCCCTTTGTACGAAGCGTTTTAACCGTTACACATGCACAATTTCTAGAGGATTGGCCTGCTGGATGTCATGCCAAACCTCATAAACTTGTGGTCCAAATTGCTACAACACTTGATACGGTCCTTTCCACTGAGCAAAAAGCCCCTTAGATAAACCACATACCGTAAAATGGGGAAAACGGATTAACACCAAGTTATCCACTTTGTACTTTGTAAGTGGACAATAATGGGAATTGTAGCATCGTTGTTGTCCCATTAATATGCAGCCTAAGTGTTCAGTAGATTTTACTTAAACAAGTAGAAGAATGCTCGTCAAATATTGATCCCACAACCTAGCATCGGCAGCTTGTAGCAACTGCGAAGGTAAACCTAACTCCATTGGTAATATTGGATCATGACCATATAGGAGTTTATATGGTGAAGCATTAACAGAACTCTACAGTCTTATAATATATGCATACCAAATAAATGGTAAATAACCATCTCAATCCAAATATTGAAAGCTCATGTACTTTGCAATCATTCCTTTGAATGTTTGAATGAGTCATTCCACCAAACCATCTGACTATAGATGATAAGCACTCGTGAAAGTGTGACATATCCCCAATCAAATGCGGGACCATTATCCGAAAGAATTCACTTTGAACAAAAATGCTAAAATACCACTCGATTAAGGAGGAATTATCCAACAGTAGTTGCAGAGGCGCTAGCAAGAGCACTAACTTCCACCCAATGAGTCAAATAGTTAAAAAAAATAATAACATATTCATTGCTAGTAATCGATCACGGAAAAGATCCCATAAGATCAAATACCACCAACTCAAATGGACAGGAAATTACAATTGACTCCAATCATCCTTTCGCAGCACGAGAGGGAGTATTATGAGCTTGGCACCAAATGCAACTACGCATATACCAGATAACATCACGTTGCATCTCCGGCCAATAAAAAAGCCTGTGCAGCTTCTTGATTATACGATGATGTCCCATATGCCCACATAGAATAAACGAATCATGGTAGGCATGGAGAAATTATGGAATAAATACAGAAGGCACCACCAGCCGTAAATGATTATCAGAATCTGTCCCCACAAAATAAAGAAGGTTGTCTTCAAGGCAATATTGAGAATGTAAATGCCGGAATAGTAAGTCATCAACAAGTAATGCAGGATTCTCAAACCCATCTAGAAACCTTCGAATCCATAGATCAATCTTTTGAGCCTTGCAAACCTTATCAAAAAAAGGTAGATTTTGTGTTGCACCTTGTGGACACTAAACGTCAAGTACAGGAATAACCAATAGTCCAAAATCCTCGTCTAGAAAATCCACAAATGTTGGAATAATAGGCTTGTTAAAAATATGATGGTTTTTGGACGTTATTAGAAGGTGATCATGCTACTATTACTTTATTATTGAAACAGAATAACCTAATTGGTCGTATTGCTCAATGGGCTTTGAAGCTTCAGATATATGATTTTGATATTGTTCATTGCTTAGAGAGTTCTATGGCTGATGTTGATGCCCTTTCTTGAACTCCTCTTCCTTCTTCACATAGATATGCATGAAGTTTCTTAAATCCTAGACTGCTGCTAAACACTCCTCTATTGTGGAGTAGTTCACTTCCATTGGTTGTAATGTACGGCTTATATATGCAATATGATGGCACTGACCAGGCAGACTCGGGTTTTTTTGCATCAATACACCTCCAAGACCAATATCAGAAGCATCAATATGCAAAATGAAAATTTACTACACCTTCCCAAGAAGTGCTACACATCATTCATACACTTCAGAGTAGGGAACTTTAGAACAACCATAAGTTTGTCATGATCAATTTGCAAACCCTCACGAGAAATATGGTACCCAAAATAAGTCATGTCCTTGGACCTAAACACACACTTCAACTACTTTAGTTTTAAACTAATGTCACATAGCCAATCCAACACTTTACAAACATCATAGACATGCTCCTCCCATATCCCTTTTGAGTGAATCAAGATATCATCAATGAAGTCACCAATCACCTTTGGCATATCATAAAGAACTTTATCCATTATCCGTTAAAAAGTTGTTGGAGCATTGTTCAAACTAAACAACATCACCAAAAATTTGTACAAACCAAACATGTACGAAAAACAATCTTAAAAATATCTTCTTCGGCCATCGATATTTGCTAATACCCAAAAATAAAATTTAGCTTGGTGAATTAACAACTTCTCCCCGAACGATCCAAGAGATCAACAGGGTGAGGAAGAGGGTACACATCCAAAATCATCACTTTATTTAATACTCCCATTAGGCTTCGTCACAAAATGAGGTTCATATACCTAACAACTCTGCAACTTTCGAATAATACTTTTTTTCAATATCTCTTTAACGTTTGCACATAAAATCTTAATCTCTTTGGATGACCAACAATGAATAGGATCTTTGATTGGACGAGCATCCTCAATTGGAATTGGATGACGTGTGGCAATCTTAGCCCTAGATGATAAGTCAAATTCAAAGAGATTGCCATACTCATTTATGAGCCGGTCAACCACTGCAACACAAAGACTATCTGAGGGATTGGAAAAGGGAAGAGCAGAACAAAACGGAAACATAGAAGGAAGTAGTGGGGGGATAAAAGTAATGGAAGCAGAAGTAGAAGCAAAGGGACAAAGAGGTACAGAATTGAGAGGAATGGATGAAATATAAAAAAGTATAAAACAAAGGGAAGAAACCTTAAAGTCACATTTAGCATGATTGCATTGCAACCAATCCATACCAAGGATGAGGTAAAAAACTTGACTCGACACCACCCCCAAATGATTAGAACCCAACCTTAAGATTGCTCACACGCACAACTAAATCCACCTCATCCCGTGCACATGCATGTGCACGACCGTTGCCATAAAGAATGAAAACTAAGTCCACCGCATGACACAAGTGTAAACGGCAATGTGTGGTAACAAATTGAGCAATAGAAGATAAATTTGGACCTATATCAACTAATACAAAGAGAACAATAAAAAACCTTTTGTTATAAAAATGAGCTTGGAAAGTGAGCTAAACTAGTGCCAAATGAACCCTTGATGATACTCCCGAAAAAAAGATGAAGGAGTCATTTACTTATTCGCGCAAGGTCCCTCTGTTACTTATGCAACTCCTTGTTTCCCGGATGCATCTCGGTATCCAAACCTTCCACTACAGCAACACTAATAGAACGTTGTTGATGCCAAGGTCTCCACCAAAAAATAGAGGCCTCAAATCTGGAAAACGCCGACAATGCCGAAAAGTATGACCAACTTCATCACACGCTTAGCAGCGAACATCACGGCCATGACTGCATTCTCGCCCTTGTCCTTGAACTTAAGCAGCAACAGCATCAACCTCCATTAGAATAGGACCATCACCCACAAAAAGTGGAGCTGAAAGACGTGCAACAAGAAGTGGAAAAAGTGATGTCTCATAACATTGTGCTAAACGAAAAACATTATCAAGGGTGGCTAGAGTAAATGCATACACAAGTTCGACAAAATCTTGACGAAGTACTGGCCACAACATTCTTAGCTTAATCCACTCCAACATATTTGGCTCTGCACAAAGCAAAAGGCTTAAAAAACGAATGCCAAATTGCATAGATAACCTTTGACAAAGACAATGCAATTGTTAAAAGGTATCATCACAATTGTCAGTATATCTAAATATTTGTTTAAAGACCTCTTTGTAGTAGTTTATATTCACCCTACAAAAGCTCAAAATATTCCATCTGACTTATTATTATCACTTTTTCATCTTTAAGATGGTGTAACATTTATATGTATATACATGTATTACCCTGTCTAATACATTAATTATAGTACTATAACATATAGACTCTCTATTTGAAACTAAATCTAATCCATCCATTCTTGTATATAAGCAGAGGTTTAAATCAATATACCTATTCCTATATCCCTAGCATTCACAATATCATAATATATTAAAAATTATATAAAAAAGATATTGTTTTTTAATTCATGATTTATAATGCTTAATGTCATAATATATATTGCAAGACTTATCAAAGTTACAAATAGTGACAATATGTAAGAATTTTGTTAGTTTTGTTCTCTTCATTTGTGTCTCATTGCATTCTTTTGTAGAAGAGAGACTTAGGTTGTGATGGGTAAACCAGAAGGACTTTGTCAGTTGTGATGTATGGTCATTCTATTGCTATGATCACAACCTTTACATGATTGTACTATACACCCACCCAAGAGCCAAACTCGATGATGGTCTAATCATTCCAGAATGAACCAGCTTCCACAGGATGTACTGCAAGTAATTGTGGTTTTGCCAATTAAGGCACAGCTCATGGTCATGCCTCTAGCTTCTCTACAGGCCATTGCACTTGAGGACATTGAGTAAGTTGATTGCATATGATTTTTAAGTCTGTAATACTTTTCTTGCTTCTTTCTTATGAAGTACACTTCCATATCTTAATCTCGCCCTGTGGCAGTGATGATATGACAAACATGCCAATGACATGTCATGCAGTGTTTTGCAGTTTTGAATTGTGCACACCATGTCATTCTAAATCCACTTCATTGAGTCCCACTCAACTCGCATTTGACTCCGAATTGTCCAAATTGACTCTGATGTGAAGAACAAAACCACAGTGAAGAATGCGGAGGAGGCTCACAAAGACTTTATAGCTTGGTTCCGAAAACACTTGCTTTGAAGCTAAGCTGTTTTATGATCGATCCATCATATAATTTGGTGGGTTTACAGACATGTCAATAGCTGGAAAATGAAGTTAAATAGCTTGCTCGAGACAGGTGATAGAAGTTCATCCAGATTCCCATTGGATTAGTAAATGACAAATGAATATTGTCGGCATTTGCTACCTCGAGAAATCGCCAAAACGCAAAAAGTTATGAAGTCCTCGTTCTGTCCGAAACATTGCGAGTGCACGCTTGGAAACGATAAAACTAAGACGAAGTTATCAGGTTGTAAGGAGGAAAGTTATGGCGCTGTGGAGTCTCTACTTGCTGCTTGTGATCCCTGCAGTGGCTGCATTCCTTATATCGTCAAAAAGAAAGAGTGGCTCCATGCAAACACCACCAGGCAATCGAGGCTTGCCCATTCTTGGCGAGACAATACAACTTCTGCGAGGCACAGCTGAGGATTTCGTTTTCCAGCGTCGCAAGAGGTAATTTTTCTCTTTTCTTTTTCATCTTTCAAGCTTTTTCTGTTCTCGTTTTCCATTCCCAACAGATTTGGGGACATTTTTTCGGCTCACTTGTTCGGACGTCAAAGTATTGTTATCAGTACTCCCGAAGCTGTAAAGTTTTTCCTCACAAATCCTGGAGCAAGGAATTGTTGCTCCCCTTCAAACTCGGGCTTCTTGATTGTCGGAAAAGAAAGTGTGGGATATGTGGAAGGAGCAACACATGCAAGATATCACCGAGCAATACTGAGCTCCATGAGTGGTGATGCTCTCAAGAATCATGTCCAAAGGTTTGACAAGATTGCTATGGACTTATTGACTTCTTGGCAACGGAAGGGATGTGTTACCGTTTTGGAAGAAACACTACAGGTATCTGTGATTTGTGAGCTTTGCCAGTTCTAAGCTCTTGTTCTGTTCTTGCAGTTAACTTTCGACGTTGTCACCGCGTTTATTTGTGATGACCCGCGTATTTTTCAAACCAAAACGGGAGATTTCATGCACGATGTAACCGTGGCTTCTAGAGGCTTGTTTAAGCTTCCCATAAATCTCCCGTTCACTGATTACCATCGAGCGCTTCAGGTAAGTCTTGGAGAAATTCTTTGCGAACTGATTTGAAACCATATCCAGGCTCGGAAACGTCTTCACTATCACCTTGATCGATTGATAAACGAGAGGAGGATTTCCAAGATCACGCATGACGACCTCTTGCATAAGCTCATGAATGACGAGGACCTCAACTCAACAAACCAGCAGATTGAGGACAATATTGTTGGTTTGCTCTTTGCAGGGCAGCACACTACTCCTCTCACGCTCGTGTGGATGATGAAACGCTTGCAAGAAAATCCCGAAATCTTGAAGGAACTTGTGGTAAATCCTACAAAAGACAGTTCTTCTTCTATATTAATTGTTCGCGCTTGCAGGAAGAACACCAGAAAATTCTTCGAGAAAGAGAGCAACCTCACTTGACATGGGAGGATACAAGAAGAATGCCAGTGACTATGCGTGTTCTTCAGGAGACTCTAAGATCTGCAACTGGAGGAATGCTGGTCAGAGAGATGAAACACACTGTCGAGTACAATGGTAAACAGCTCTAAGTGGTTTTGCTATAAAATTTGCTCCTCCTGTTTTCAATGGATTCCAGGCTATGTGTTTCCAAAGGGATGGACGCTTCACATTTTCCACACTGCCATCCACCTGAACGAAGATTATTTCGCTGATCCTTATAAATTTGACCCCTCCAGATTCCTCGTATTAAAACTTTCTTTCGATTTGCTACGAAGAAAACCCTTACCATACTTCGCAGGTTCCACAAAAACCGGGAACTCTCATTGGATTTGGATGCGGTTTGCGAACTTGTCCTGGTGCCGAGCTTGCTAAACTGGAAATCCTCGTTTTCTTTCACAGGCTAGTAACACAGTACAGGTACTTAAGTTTCCTAAAGTTCTTCAAAAGAAAAAACAATTCCTTCTCGCAGCTGGAAGCCGAAAGCTCCAAACGGGGCAATAAGAAACTGGCCACTGCGAATCCCAGAAGACGGATACGTTGTGGAAATCAACCGCAAATGACTTGTGCTGCTAGCCTACCTAGAGAGATCGCCATGACTGAGAAAAGCTTTGTCGCATATTCTTGATAAAAACAAGAGGAAGTTCCTCGTGGAGTGAAAAAGGATATGGCGCTCTTGTGGAGCCGCTTGTGATTCTTCCATTGATCTTCATGTCTTCGAAAAGGTGGAGACACTACGTTGCAAGAGGTCTTTTTTACCTCTTTTAAATTCGGCTACCCCGTCCAAGGGTTGGATCGCCTGTTGAAAGTGTTCGTGTCTGAGATTGTGGAATTTGTCAATCTGAAGCTGTTATTTGCAAGATCACACATGACGACCTCTCTTGACAAACCAGCATTCTTTGGGCAGCACACTACTCCCCTTTGCCCTTTTGGATCCTCATGCCAAAGCCATTCGTAGGGCTTGGATTTGCTGACTTCGTGACAACATCTGGCAACAAACCAACGCTTTGTCTTCTTGTCACATCAATCTCGGTCGCGCAGCAGGGAGAAGGCCAAAGAATTCTTCGAGAAAGTCTCTTTGACATGGGATGATACAAGTGACAACTCGTCTTGTTGACGAGACAATGCAATTCCAGTCAGAGAAATGAAATAGAATACAATGGTGTAAGAAGTAACTTTGCTATTGAATTTAATCCTTTTTGTCCCTGGAGCTATGTGTTTCCAAAGGGTTGGACGTTTCATATTTTTCACACTGCCATCCACGTTAACCAGGATCTGACCCCTCCATATTCATCGTATCTTCTTTTTAACTTTCTCTCTGGAAATCACCCAAATTCTTAGGCTCCACCTAGAGAACTTTAATCCAGGAACTTTCTTTGGATTTCGGCAACCATCGTGCGGCATATTCTCCTGATCGGAAAAAGTGGCTTTCTATAACGACACGTGGAGGGGTGGCGTGGCGCCACGTACGTAGTTGTTTTTCGTGCGGGGCGGCGAATGTATCTATCTACCCAATTGCCGAGAGAGAAAGATTGACCGCAAAATCTGCGTTTCGTTGACACCTCGCCTGGGAACCAAGCAGGCGCACTCGCGCACTCGCGCTCTCATGTGTTCTTCATTATAATCCGTCCAAATCGATCGCTTTCTCCTTGGCGTTGCGTGGAATGGGACGAGAATTCGATCGATCTCTCTTGTCCGCGTAGGTGTTTTCCACGCAATAGAATAATCTTCTCCCCTCCCTCCCTCCTCGCATTTATTTCCTTGTCGCGGAGAACAGGAGCTCGAGCTAGATTTCGGGACTCCTGTCTTGGAATTTCGGCGCTATCGATCGATTCAATCGAAAGGAGCGCGAGAGAGGAGATACTCGATCGCGGATTCACAAGGAAAAGATTGATTGGAATCCATCCATGGGTGCTGTGGCCAAGGAGATGATGATGAATGGCGAGGCCAATGCTGGGAGTAAGCTGGACAGGGTCATTCTCCGGATCGACGAGGACGCTCCATCCCCGACCGGGCAGCCAAGCCTCGCGAGAAATTCCACCCACATTGCCGAGGACGAGCGGAAAGAGGGATCCCTGGAACGGAGCAACAGCTATTTCTTCCAAGACGATCCCGCCACTCTCTCGGCTGCGCAGTCGATCGATCCTCCCACCAAGCTCATCGGCGAATTCCTGAGGCACCAGAAGGAATCCGGGGATTTCCAGCTCGATCCGGGCGTGGGCGTGGACGGCGAGCTCACATTCTGGGAATCACCCAGTACTAAGGCCTCGTTGCGGCGCCGCTCCAGCTCCACGTCCGATCGATACCCTGACGCCGCCGAAGCTGGAGCGCTCGATCCATCCTCCGCCAAGGCAGCCTCCAGGATTCCATCCTACGGTCGCTGCAAATCCAGACTCGGGGATCCACCGCCGCCACCTCTCCGGTCAGGGCTGCTCAAATCCTCGGGAGTTCTCAACAAATCCCCGGACGCTCAAGCGGCAGGATCGGCGACCGGGGCGGCGGAGGACGATCCACTGGACGTGCCCGACGATCTCATCCACAAGCCCTGGAATCTGTGGGTGTTCTTGGAATGGGGGTTTCTGGCGCTCAGCATTGGGGCCCTAGTGTGTACCACCAACATCCCGGTGCTCGAGCGCCGCAAGCTCCTGGGCCTCCATCTCTGGCGCTGGGCGGTGCTCGCGCTCGTCATCCTCAGCGGCCGCCTCCTCTCGGGCTGGATCATCCGCTTCCTCGTCTTCTTCATCGAGCGGAACTTCATCCTGCGCAAGCGCCTCGTCTACTTCGTCTATGGCCTCCACAAGGGCGTCCAAAACTGCCTGTGGTTTGGGATCATCCTCCTGGCCTGGCGCCTCCTCTTCGATCCAAACCTCCCGCTGCCCATCCGGCGCGAGCGCAAGGCCCTCGAGATCGTCACCAGGATCCTCATCTGCCTGCTCGTCGCCGCCTCGCTCTGGCTCGTCAAGATCCTCCTCGTCAAGGTGCTCGCGCTCAGCTTTCACGTCAACACCTTTTTCGATCGCATCCAGGAGTCTCTTTTCAATGAGTACATCCTCGAGTCTCTCTCGGGGCCGCCGCTGCTGGAGAGCCAGGGCAATCCGAGCCAGGTGCTCAAGAGATCCGGCGAGGCTGGCAAGAGATCTAGCGAGGCTGACCCGCGATTGCTCAAGAAATCCGGGAACATTGGCGGTGGTGGCGGTGGCGATCACAAGAGCGGCGGCCCCATTAGCATCGAGCACCTCCAGCGCATGAACCAGAAGAACGTCTCGGCCTGGAACATGAAGAGGCTCATCCGGCTCGCCAAATCGCCGCGGATCACGACGCTGGCGCACGCCATCGACTCCGACGAGGATTCCTGCGGGGGCGGTAGCGGCGGATTGGAGGGCGACTGGCAGGCCAAGGCGGCGGCCAAGCACATCTTCAACAATGCCGCTCGCCCGGGATGCCGCTGCCTCTCCCTCGTCGATCTCATGAGGTTCCTGGGCGACGAGGAGTGCGCGATCAAGGCGTTCGCGCTCTTCGATGGCGCCATGGAGACTGGCAAGATCAGTAAGCAAGCGCTCGTCAACTTTGTGGTGAGTTCAAAGTCCTCTGTTATATTTTAGGGTTCTTAATCTCTCTCTTCTTTAGGTGAATGTATACCGGGAGAAGCGGGCGCTCTCCTTCTCGCTCAATGACACCAAGACGGCGGTAAAAAAGCTCCACCGGATCACGGACGTGATCATGGGGATCATAATCCTCGTGATCTGGCTGCTCATTCTGGGAATCGCGACGACGCACTTGCTCGTAGCGCTCTCGTCCCAGCTGGTTCTAGCGGTGTTCGTCTTTGGCAACACATGCAAGACGGTGTTCGAGGCCATCATCTTCTTGTTTGCGATGCATCCCTTCGACGTGGGCGATCGTTGCGTGGTCGATGGAGTTCAGGTCTGGAATGAATTCCTTGTTTTTGCCTTGACTGGATCTCATGATCTTCGCAAATGCGAATGCAGATGGTGGTGGAAGAGATGAACATCCTGACCACCGTCTTCCTCCGCTACGACAACGAGAAGATCTACTACCCGAATTCCGTGCTGGCGACCAAACCGATCAGCAACTTCTACCGCAGCCCCGACATGGGCGACGCCATCGATTTCAGCCTCCACATCTCCACCCCTGCCGAGAAGATCGACGCGCTCAAGGTGAGGATCAAGCGGTACATCGACAGCCACCTCCACCACTGGCATCCCAAGCACGACGTGGTGATGCGCGAGATCGAGGACATGAACAGGGTCCGGATGTCCCTGTGGCTCCAGCACACGATGAATCACCAGAACGCGGGCGAGAAGTGGATCCGCCGCTCGGATCTCCTCATCCATCTCAAGGATTCGTTCCAGGAGCTGGAGATCGACTACAGGCTGCTGCCCCAAGAGGTGCGCCTGTCCCAAAGCCTCTAAAGCTCTGACCAGAGCACTTTTTTTTGTTTGGTAAGAATATTTATTACTGTAGAATAAATGAGATATAATCTAAATAACTTAAATTCTTTCTTTTAGTGTTATTTATTAGTCTGGGTAATTCAATTAAAACTTCTTATTATATTGCACAATAAACTCTAAATAACCATGTAGTTGGACTTATAATAACTAAAGAACTTTATAATAACAATATTGTGAGTGTCTATAGTTCAACTCTTACTTTTTAATATTTTAAGGTGTTGGAGCATCACTTATAGAATTAATTTTAAGCCCGAAAAATAATTATAATATAAACACAATTGTTTTTTTTTAGAATAAACTAGAATATACTAGAAGTTTATAAGTTATAAATACAAGATTAGATGGTAGAATCTCCCAAAATATCTAAATATATTCTAAGTATATACAATATTACAAATTATAAATCACTTAAATTCACCATTTGACTTTTATAGAATAATGATGCTTTTAGAATCACATATGCATTTTGGATAACAATAACTATTATCATTTAAATAATAATTATCTGTAGTAGTTTTTCTCAAAATATTTAAAATGGCATAGCTTGTGCTATATGCATACATGACTTTTTTTTATAGTGGATTATATTTTATATTTATTGTCATCATGTTTAATTTTAGATCACTATATTTAGATTTAATTTGAACTTCTATTATATTTTATCTTGCTACTTATTTGGAAATTTTTAATAAAAAATTATTTTCTAAACATTATAAGATTATTTATTTATTTATCTATTTATTTATTATAATTCCTTTAAAATTTTATATTTCCCTCTATAGAAATGAATATATGATTGCACATGGGTTTATATTTATTTACATCTGTGCAGATATATTTTTCTTATTTTCAATTTCACACAATATTATAATACAGATATGTTAAATGCATATTACAATATGTGTGCATTTGACCAATCAAAATATGATTATGTGCATTATAATATTTAAATAGAAATGGCACATGTGTGGGGCATGCCACATATGTGATTTACTCTTTTTAAGTGCTCTATACCATGTAAACTTAATAAATTATGTGTTAGTTTTTTAGTAGTCATAGATCAAAAAGAGGTTGTGAACTTTGAGGGAATTGACTCTATAAATCCCTAGCCTAATAATACTATAGCTTTCTAGAATGTTTATTATGGCTAACAAAGCAGTTGAAGTAGAATTACCATTTGAAACAGCTATCATATCTATGTATGATTAATTCTCTTTTTAAAATCTCAGTAGTGATCCAACTTTGAGCCAAAATGATTTAGTCTTTAAAAGAGGAAGATCTACTTAATCCTCTTGCAAATGAGCCAAAACATTTTACAATCACAAAGGACACTGGTACTTTAAATGATGTTTTGTGTGAATGTATATTTTATCTTTGGCTATAAAAGATTCCTCTATAAAATAAGTAAAATACTACAAAAATCATGTTAAAAACTATTTTACATAATAAACTTTACAGAATTACCATTCAAATAATATTTTGTTAAATCTTACATGTTGTAACAAATGAAATTAATTAATTTAAATTTTTATGCTTTACATTAATTCACGCATACAAAAATGTATTAAACCATCTATTGAATAAAGCTGATGTGGAATTAAAATTCTACAAACATAATATTAACCTAAATTTTACTATGTATACATAAAAAAAAAAAAAAATTCGTCACACAATTAGGGAATAAAGGGTTTTTCACCACTTTTGCAAATGGCAACTCTACCCTGAATGATTTTGCCATTTCAATAGCATTGTTGAAGTAAAATGCCTCACAATCACCATCTTTAATTAAACACATTTGTGTAATTTATATATTTTATAATATAATACAATTTTTTGCTACATCATCTACCCAAAAGACAATTGGGCTAAACATTTTTGTATTCCCATTCCATATTCCATGCACTCACATTGAAACCTTTGTTATTATTAAAAATAAAAATAAATTAAAATATAAATAATTGAGAAGTTAATTAAGATTTTAGGGGTATCGATTTCTGACGTGGCAGCCTTTAGGGTTCTTCGGAATATCCATTAATCCACAATGGAAGAGAGCGACATTTTTGCAACGACAGTGGGGTTGGATGAGGCGCAGCTCAAGGCTGGGTTCGATGAGGGTTTCGCGGAGGGAGTGATCGCCGGGGAGATCGAGGGCCGCGAAGTAGGGCTCAAGATAGGATTCCAGGTGGGCGAGGAGCTGGGATTCTACGGTGGCTGCGCGCAGCTGTGGATTTCGCTGCTTCAGAGGGACGAATCGGCTTTTTCGGCGAGGGCCGCGCGGGGAATCCAGCAGCTGAGGGATCTCGTGAGGGATTACCCCGTGCTGGATCACCAGAACGAGCAGCTCCAGGAGAAGCTCGACGCAATCCGGGCGAAGTTTAGGGCAGTGAGTTCCATGGTGGGTGTCAAGCTTGACTACCAGGGAATGCCGAGTGCTGGAAGCGATGGAAGATCCTTCTAGGGTTTTGGAGCAGGGGTTTTAGCTGCTAGGGGTTAAGCCCAAGGAAAGAATGGAGCTTTCGCGTGTCCGCCATTCTTCCTGGATCCCCGATGGGGAGAGCTCATTCTTATCCAGCAAATGCGATCATAAGAGATTTATCAGGTTGAGAGTAAAGCTTGTCAGGTGTTCTACGACTTTAGCATCGTCTCCAGGAACTTTGGACCTTCTTTCTCCGCTCGAGCAGCTCACCACAGCCGAGCCTCGTCCAGTTTTGAAGCTGGCCAAGGCGTTTGCTCCAGCCACTGTTGCCAACCTCGGACCCGGCTATGATTTTCTGGGCTGTGCCGTCCAAGGCCTCGGGGACTTTGTCACGGCCGAGGTTGACGAGGGTGTAGAGCCGGGGAAAGTCCGTATCAAGAACATCACCGGTGATAGTGGGCGATTGAGCTACGAGCCGCTGAAGAACTGTGCTGGAATCGCCGGCAAGAGCACCATGGAGCTCCTCGGGATAAAGTCGGTCGGGCTCTCTCTATCGCTGAGCAAAGGCCTTCCTCTGGGAAGCGGGCTTGGATCGAGCGCCGCCAGTGCAGCAGCGGCGGCGGTAGCAGTGAACGCGCTGTTTGGAAGTCCGCTGTCCAAGATGGAGCTCGTTTACGCCGGACTCAAATCCGAGGCAGTTGTCAGTGGCTACCACGCCGACAACATTGCGCCTTCGCTCATGGGAGGCTTCGTTCTCGTCAGAAGCTACGCTCCACTCCATCTCATCCCTCTCGTCTTTCCCAGCGGCAAGCAGCTCTTCTTCGTCCTGGCCATTCCAGAGTTTGAGGCTCCAACAAAGGAGATGCGAAAGGCGGTGCCTCAGATGATCGAGCTCAAGAGGCACACCGCCAATTGCAGCCAGGCGGCGGCGCTGGTTGCGGCTATCCTGGGTGGAAACGCTGCTCTCCTCGGCGAAGCTCTCGCGTCCGACACCATTGTGGAGCCTGCGAGGAGTCCTATGATACCGGGGATGGCGGCCGTGAAGATCCAGTCCATGAAACAGGGAGCTTACGGGTGCACGATCAGTGGTGCCGGTCCGACCGCTGTGGCTGTCACGGATGACGAGAGCAAGACCGAAGCTATTGGTGCGAGCATGGTGCTGGGATTCCGCGAGCATGGAAATCTGCGAGCTGGCTATTCGGTTCATAAGCTCAGCAAGGACGGGGCTAAAGTTGTCGAGAGTTTGGATTTCTAGTTGATATAATGAGCTCAAGGCTCCTTTGCAGATTGAAGTTAATGAAGTTTCTTAAACCTTCACATTCTCAAAGAACTTTCAACTACATACAAAGAATCTTACTTGCCACCTAAGTCTAGGAAGTTGACAGTTTTTCCATTTTTCTTCAAAGTTCTCGCTAGAGATCCACTTATCTATCAACTTTTATTTCCATTGTGAAATTCAGACTAGTATAGCTATCTATTTGTCTAGGCACTTGGCGAATTTGTCTGGTCGTGATGAGAATGGGACTTCCAAATTCCAGGGACCTGGGCTCCAGTTTGCCATGGATATGCTTCATGCAAATACCACCAGAAGGAAGTTTTGGGCGGCATATCGGACAAGATGGTAAGAGCGTCGAAGAAAAAGCATGACTTGAAGCCTGGACACGCAGGCTTCAAGAAATTATTTAAGTTCATCCACACACTTGATTCATTTGTTCATGGTCTAGAAACACTTTTGGATGAATTTCCTTGTGAAAATGAGAATATTATATGTGTGTGTGAGAGAGAGTCCCATAATCCAGCAGCTTTTCCTAGAGACATTGCTCGCATCAAAACTAAATTATGTATCAGCAGTGACAAAAGCAGTGACGATGGAGTCATATACCAGATCTCATTCTCCTGAGATTTTGAGAAGATTACATAGGACGAAAATAAACAGGGAAGAACACCAAACGAGACGGCAGTCCGCATGAACAAGTCAATCACATGTTTTTTATCAATTGTAAACAATGCGGCCGAGCATGCAGACCCATCCTCTTCTAACGATGAAGCCAGAAAAACAGAGCCATTGAATATGCCGCCTACAAGAAGCCCCCGAATTCATCGTCAGCATCCCTGATCGAAAAGCGGACAAACTGGCTTCGAGCAAATAGTGTTATCACTTATATGCATCCAGATGCTGTTTGATCAGAGGCTTGTTATTTCAGTGTAGTTAAGTCATGTACAGACACTACATGGCATCGTCCTTGCCTTTTCTCCTCATCATGATCTTCACTGATTGCTGGACGCAATTGAGAAGATGCGGATGATCCATTCTCTTGCTCGGACGCTTCCTCCTGCGCCTTGAGATGGTCGCCAGATTCAGAGGTGCACTCAAAGCCAGCGTCAAGGAGGAGGTCCCAAAGTTTTTCATCATCGTCATCTTTGTAATCTGGAAGCGTCTCGTTGCATAGCAATCCATCCTCTTGCCCGTTTCCAGCTATAGCTGTCTCGTTGCATTGCAATCCATCCTCGTCCTGAGGGCATTGTAATCCATCCTCTTCTTGAGCTGCAGTATTATCATTCATCTAAAAATCAATAGCGCCGTCGAGAGAACTTACCTCCATCAACCGCCGCTTCGGGTGATGCTTCACCGTTACACAGAGGAGCTCCCATTGGAGTCTAGGCCCCTCGGGGGCTTGCTTGTGCATGTCTAATTCTTCTTTAACTTATGATTTGCCTTAAGATCAAATGTTACAAAGTCCATCCGTGGGCTCCGGTCGGAATGAGGTTTGACCCGAAGATTCTTCTACTTCAGCTAAAGACAAAGGATCTGTGTCTTTGTTCTGTGGTTGAAATTCATACATGGTGATAGGCCTACTGATCGAAGCTTCTTCGAAGTCCTGTTTTAACTCCACACTCTTGTCCCTAATCCACACACAAAGAATTGGTCAGAGAGAGAGAGGGAGAATGTCCTTCTTGGTCACATCAGAGTTCATAGCTTGCATCTGCACAAAAAGAAAACTATTTGCGAAAACTTAAACAAAAAAAAGAAACAATATTTTACATCTGCTCCGTCTCCAGCGTCAGGTCCTCAGTCTCTACCGGAGCTTCCTCCGCGTCGCCCGCAGCAAGGCGCTGGTCAATCCAGAGAGAGCAGGAGAGAGAGATGGTCAATCTCGAACAGTTGAAGCAAAATATAACCATTTTAATCCACATCCAAAGAAACAAATTCTCCATGCATCGACCTCTCACTAGAGAAATCTTCAATTTCACTCATTGTGAAAACTTAATGGTATGAAATTCACGGTCCTATGGAGCAATCTTTTCGTACAAAGATCACTTTTTGATTTCTTCTACGCATTTTGGTTTCAACAATACTGTTCTATTACTTTTGAAATGTGATAAGAAAAAGACTTCCCAATGGGACTTGAGCTCCAATTTCTTGATGTTAAAAACTTTTTGCATCGTGGATTCACGACCAGCGTAAGAAACTGATCCACAAGATCGTCTAGACAAACTTTTTAGCTTGCCCAGGATGATCCAGGAGTGCGACATTTTCGTCCCATGTACAAGTTGAAGATGAATATATATGCCCGAATCTAGATTGAACGCTGTGCAAAAAGAAAAATGGAATTCCAGCAGTGGGAAAAGGCTTTGAGCTACAATCCAGTCAATGCGGCACATCAGCAGTGACGAATTCAGAAGGTCAAAGCGATGTTACTACACAATCTCTTCCTTTGAAATTGGGAAAGATTTGCTGGAGTACAAGACTTAAATTTACGAAAAACTGGAAGAACAGAGGAAAGAATACCACCAGTCCGATCCAACGAGACCGTGGCAGTGCAAAGATTCCCCCCTCGAGATTTAGGATTCATCACGTACAGCAGCATCCAATTCCTTGAAATCGTCATCTTCTCCAAGATTTCTTTTTGAGTGAAAGGTTCTTCCTATATTTGTTTGCCTTGAGCACAGTCGTTCTCGTCAGAAGCTACGCTCCACTCCATCTCATCCCTCTCGTCTTTCCTAGCGGCAAGCAGCTCTTCTTCGTCCTGGCCATTCCAGAGTTTGAGGCTCCAACAAAGGAGATGCGAAAGGCGGTGCCTCAAATGATCGAGCTCAAGAGGCACACTGCCAATTGCAGCCAGGCGGCGGCGCTGGTTGCGGCTATCCTGGGTGGAAGCGCTACTCTCCTCGGCGAAGCTCTCGCGTCCGACACCATTGTGGAGCCTGCGAGGAGTCCTATGATACCGGGGATGGCGGCCGTGAAGATCCAGTCCATGAAACAGGGAGCTTACGGGTGCACGATCAGTGGTGCCGGTCCGACCGCTGTGGCTGTCACGGATGACGAGAGCAAGACCGAAGCTATTGGTGCGAGCATGGTGCTGGGATTCCGCAAGCATGGAAATCTGCGAGCTGGCTATTCGGTTCATAAGCTCAGCAAGGACGGGGCTAAAGTTGTCGAGAGTTTGGATTTCTAGTTGATATAATGAGCTCAAGGCTCCTTTGCAGATTGAAGTTAATGAAGTTTCTTAAACCTTCACATTCTCAAAGAACTTTCAACTACATACAAAGAATCTTACTTGCCACCTAAGTCTAGGAAGTTGACAGTTTTTCCATTTTTCTTCAAAGTTCTCGTTAGAGATCACTCTCTGAGTCCACTTATCTATCAACTTTTATTTCCATTGTGAAATTCAGACTAGTATAGCTATCTATTTGTCTATCTAGGCACTTGGCGAATTTGTCTGGTCGTGATGAGAATGGGACTTCCAAATTCCAGGGACCTGGGCTCCAGTTTGCCATGGATATGCTTCATGCAGATACGACCAGAGGGAAGTTTGGGCGGCATATCGGACAAGCTAACAAGAGCGTCAAAGAAAAAGCATGACTTGAAGCCTGGACAGCAAGCTAATTATTCAAGCTCATCCACACAATTGATTCATTATGAATTTCCTTGTGAAAATGGTGTATGTGAGAGAGATTGCTCGTATCAAAACTAGATTATGTGGCAGCAGTGACGATGGAGTCATATATCAGTGACTCGCAATCTGATTCTCCTGATAGGACGAAAATAAACGGGGAAGAACACAGGCCGATCCAAAAGAGACGGCAGTCCGCATGAACAAGTCAATCACATGTTTTTTAGAATCAATTGTAAACAATGCGGCCGAGCATGCAAATCCATCGATGAAGCAAGAAAAACAGAGCCATTGAATATGCCGCCTGCAAGAAGCCTCCGAATTCATCATCAGCATCCTGTAATCTGATCGAAAAGCGGACAAACTGGCCTCGAGCAAATAGTGTTATCACTTATATGCATGTAGAAGCTGTTTGATCAGAGGCTTGTTATTTCAGTGTAGTTAAGTCGTGTACACGCACTACATGGCATCGTCCTTGCCTTTTCTCCTCATCCTGATCGCTGGACGCAATGAGAAGATGGCGGATGATCCATTCTCTTACTCGGACACTTCCTCCTGCGCCTTGAGATGGTCGCCAGATCCAGAGCTCCACTCAAAGCCAGCGTCAAGGAGGAGGTCCCGAAGTTTTTCATCATCATCATCTTTGTAATCTGGAAGCGTCTCGTTGCATTGCAATCCATCCTCGTCTTGAGGGCATTGTAATCCATCCTCCTCTTGAGCTGCAGTATTACCATTCATCTAAAAATCAATAGCGCCGTCGAGAGAACTTACCTCCATCAATCGCCGCTTCGGGTGATGCTTCACCGTTAAAAAGAGGAGCTCCCATTCGAGTCCAGGCCCCTCTGGGGATTGCTTGTGCATGCCCAATTCTTCTTTAACTTATGATTTGCCTTAAGATCACCTCTTCTCCAGTGGCCATTTGACAGCTTACAGATCTCTTTGGCCGAGAATATTCTTTGTTCTGTGTTTGAAATCCATACATAGTGAGACACCACACGAAGAATTGGTCAAATTGAGAGAGAGTGATGTGTGCCTACGTAGCAAGCTTTTCGTACAAAAGATTTCTTCTACGCGTTTCTTTTTAAACAATACTATTCTGTTGCATTTGAAATGTGATAAGAAAAAGATTTCCCAATTCCAGGGACTTGAGCTCCAGTCTCTTGAGGTTAAATTTTTTTGTACGACCAGCATTGTGATTGCGGAAAATGATTTTGTCTCTTTGGCGGCGTATGGGACAAAAGAGTGGAGTCAAAACAGGACTTTGAAGAGTAAGAAACTGATCCACAATATCGTCTAGACAAACTTTTTAGCTTGCCAGGATGATCCAGGAATGCGACATTTTCGTAGGAGTTGAATCCCCATGCACAAGTTGAAGATGAATATATATAGAATATGCACGCTGGGTAAAAACAAAGAAAGATAGAATTCCAGCAGTGAGGAAAGACTTTGAGTTACAATCCAGTCAAAGCGATGCTACTTCAGCTACCACAATCTCTTCCTTTAAAATTGGGAAAGAGCTTCGTGAATTGCTGGAGCATGTTTGCACAAGATTTACATTTACGAAAAACTGGAAGAACAGAGGAAAGGCTATCACTAGTCCGATGCAAAGAGACAACAGAGCAAGAGTGCAAAGGTTCCCCCCTCGAGATTTCACATACAGCAGCATCCAAATCCTTGAAATTTGTCATCTTCTCCACCGTTTTGACTGAAAGGTTCTTCCTATATTTATTTGCCTTGTGCACAGCCCACTCTACCTGAAGAATTAATAGTTTGAGAGCTGAAAAAGCTTGGACGAAACCTCCATGCAGTCGCTTTGAGGATCACTCCACAACATGTCATATATTATAGTGTATACATTAGCAGTTGTTTTCTGTACAGCAAGAGCAAGATGAATCCTCGTGACACATGATTTTTCAGTGCTATAAGTTATGTACATGCACGAGATTATCCATCATCGTCATCGCCTCAAAGGGGATCGTTGGATGCAATGAAGAAAAATTACAGATCATTCATATGTCGACCTCGGACACTTCCTGATCTTGCGCCTTGAGATGATCGGCAGATCCAGACCCGTACTCAAAGCCAGCATCGAGGAGGAGCTCTCGAAGCACGTCGTCGTCATCTTCGTGATCTTGAAGTGTCTCGTTGCATCGCAATCCATCTTCTTCTCCCGCATCGTTGCATTGCAGTCCATCTTCTTGCTCTCCCTCATCCTTGCATTGCGATCCATCCTCGTCTTGAGCTGCAACCGCAACATCGAGAGAATTACCTCCATCATTGGAGTTTTCTTCCGCTCCGGTCGGTGCAAACACAGGAGCTCCCATTGTTTTTTGTCCAGGCCTCTAGAGCCGCGTCAAATGTTTTCTTAAGCTATGTTCAAACTATTATGTGTACCATCAGAGGCTTCTCGAACGAAACTTCCCAGGTGCTGGTATGAAGGTTGGTGGCAATCAGCATCATCCAGAAGAAGCAGAGCCGGAATTGCGTGTTTGGACCCAAGAATCAATCCAGGTTCGCGATGGATATTCTCGTGTATGTGGCTCATGGCAGATTCAACCAGGTGGATCGCGCGGAAGAAATCTTTTTTGCTCAAGGCGATCATTCATCCGCGGAAGCCGCTTGGAATTCCATGCTAGCGTCGTATGCCCGGTGTGGGCATTCCAGCGACGCGCTAGAGCTTCTGTTTTAGATGAGTTTGAGATTAGTAAGCATAGATTTGACTGCCAATGTCCACTTCTCATTGACATTGTTGTCATTCTAAAGTTTCTACATCGTTTACCCTTGTTTACTCCGTTTCCCGTAAGGGTCTTCAGCACTAAACGCATGCCCTGCTCCCTTTCTCTTCTTTCTGTGCTTGGCTGCGTTGCTGTGAATGCTGGTGCAGCTGGGCGGGATCGACTTGAGGCAAAACGATGCTGCAAGAGCCTGCGAGGCAGCAACACTTCGCTAACCGGCACAAACAAAAAAGGAAAAACTTAACCTGCAAGTCTAGCTTGTGGATGTCAAAGGCGGCCGTGTGCGCCTGATACGAGCGCAGGTAAGACTTGAAGGCGTCCGCTGCCAAGCGCTGCATGCCTTGGATCTTGAGTATCTGAGTTTCCTGCCACACAAAACGAAAGAGAGATACTTAGAAAAGGAAGAAACGACGTGAGAGTGCATACATACAAGGAAGGTTTGAATGTTCAGCGGCTTCGAGCTTGGCCACAGCTTTATGGGGACTCTAGAACGCTAAGGAAATGGAGTAAGAAAACATTGAAAAGCAAAAGACATATACCTTAAGGTCAGAAGTAAACAGGAGCTCCTGAGGCAGCAGAAACAATAAAGCTCGGCCACGGGCACCCTCTCCCCGAGCAGTCCGGCCAACTCGGTGGATATACTCCTGAAAGATCAGCATGTTACAAACAAGAAAATCAGGAAGAAACCGACCTTCGGATCAGGAGGAGGATCATACTGGATAATCCAGTCCTGCAACTCTGTGGTAATTACTACCATCATACATCTTGCAAAGAATACTTACAACGGCAGGAATGTCCAGGCCACGGGCTGCAACATCAGTACAAAGAAGGAGGCCATTTTCCGCGGCACAAAACTCCGTGAAGGCAGAAGTCCTCGTCGATTGCTTCTGCTTCCCGTGGATGCTCAGGCACTCCAAGCCAATGTGGCAAAACAGTTCGAAGTGGAACTTGACTGAGTTACACGAGGAGAAGAAGACCATCACCTGCACAAGAAAAAAGGTGATGTAGAAGTAGAAGAACTCATCAGTTGAACTAATCAGCTCGACTTCCTCACCTTCTTTTTCTTACTTCTGTACAGGGATGAGATGAGAAGTAAGAGCCGCTTCTCGAGTGGCACCACCCAGTAGCCTTGCTCCAAACCTTGTACAGTCGATTGCTCAATGGACTCCACCCCGATGTACGTTGGATCCTTCAGCGACAAGTTCGCAAGCTGTTTTACCTGGGTATTGGGAGAGTGTCAGTGAGAAACCCAAGAAAAAAAGACCAAGGCTCGCCTTCTCTGATAGAGTCGCAGAAAAGAGCACAGTCTGTCGCTTTGTATTCTGCAGTAGGCAGGGAGCCTTAGACTCGTCGCGATCATGATTTAGATAGAGAAAAGAATGCCTGAAAGAAACGAAGAATTTGATTCATGTCCTCTTCAAACCCGATGTCAAGCAACCGGTCCGCTTCATCGATCACCAAGTACTGGAAAAGAAGGTCAGGGTAGAATGGAAAAACAAACCAGACATAGAACAACACCTTCAAGTTGTGATAGATCCATCCGGCAGTGCTCCTGAGATGATCCAGGAGCCTGCCAGGAGTAGCAACCAAAAGGTTCACTCCAGCCTTGAGCTTCACAGCTTCGACTTTACGGTTCAAGCCTCCAGTGATAACCATATGCGTCTGGCTGTGCGCTGACATAAGTTTGGATGCAACTCCGTGGATCTGCCGATCGATCATAGATAAGAGTGTCAATCGAAGCAATAGACCAGCAAGAAAAGGAACAATAAAAGAAATAAACCTGGCTTGCCAGTTCCCTTGTAGGGGAGATGATAAGAACCACGGTCCCATTCCTTGGCTTGATTTGCACCCGGTTGAGAAGCTCCAATGCCGGTACCAAGAAGGCTAGAGTCTTTCCAGTGCCAGTGCGAGATGCTCCCAGCACATCCGACCCCGCCAACAGCCTTGGAATGGATCGCGCTTGGATCTACGAAACAAAAACCAAGGGAGAGAGAGATCGCGCTTTCGAGCATTTACCTCGGTCATGTGAGTGAAATTGCATTCCTTGAGAGCCGCCAGTGTGCGATCGCTCAGGGGCAGGGAATCGAAACGAATTGCCATGGCGCAAGAACCCTAGAAAATCCACTGTGGTAGGGTTTAAGGTTTAGGGCTTATATATTAACCACTAAAGCGGGAAATTTGAAATGATTCCAGCGGCATATCCGTTTAGGGCTCCTGAGAGGCCATGCCCAGGAAGAGCCCCGGCAAGCTCCAGGTATGGCGCGTGGGAATGCTGCGCTACGATCGCGCCCTGGCGCTGCAGCGCTACGTGATGGAGGACCGCATTCTCGGCCACGACGACGTCCTCATCTCCGTGCAGCACCCGCCCGCCATAACCCTAGGCCGCCACAGGCTCTCCCACGCCATCCTCACCCCCCACTCGGAGCTCCGCCGGCTGGGCATCGAGATCTACCACACGGACCGCCGCGGCGAGGTGACAATGCATCTCCCAGGCCAGCCCGTGCTCTACCCGATCGTCTCCCTCCGCGCAATCGAGATGGGTCTTCGCAATTTCCTGGAGGTGCTCGAGGACGTGATGCTGGGCGTGGCCAAGAGCCATGGAATCGATGCCGAGGTGAGGGTGCCATTCGAGGCTGGATGCTGGATCGAGCGGCAGCGGCAGATTGGAGCGATTGGATTGCGGCTGACGGGCGGGGTCACGACGCATGGATTGGCGTTCAATGCCAAGCCGGACCTGGGCTACTTCTCGCACATTGTCCCGTGCTGTGGCCTCGCGGGGAAGGAGGCGACCTCGCTGGCCAAGGAGCTGGGATCGCCGGATGGAGTGGACGAGGAGGCTGTGACGGAGCAGCTGATTGACAAGTTCGTGGAGATCATGGGGTACAAAAAGGTGGCCAACCGGAGTTTCAACATGGAGAAGCTGGTTCCATCGCTGGACCGGCTGATTACTGTCAGAGCTGGCGATGGTGGGCGGAGATGGCTCTTGAAGCTCAAAGAGATGGATCAACACCATTAGTGGGGGAAGTGATTTCCTTTTCTGGGATCCACAAATTCAAAGCATTGCAAGATCGATAGTGCTTCCCTTACCCGTAAGAGTGACAAGGTTCCGATCTGCCACCAGCGACCTAAGGATGTCTGAGAGACACTACAGTCCTCCGCTCTACCAACTGAGCTAAGATCGGTTATTGTAACTGAAAGGTAAGTTGATGATCTTCTACTAGCATATCCACGAAAACCTTCGCGACGGGTGATCTTTTACTCACATCCTTCACGAAGGATATCGCCATGATCTTCCAAAAATATCGCAAGAAACTGTGCTGGATTTTATCAGGTAAATTGAAAATTGAAGCCAATTCAATTCTATAACCATTTCTTTCTGATCCCTGTTGTGATGGGCCAAGGCAATGCGATGCATGGTTGCCAGAAATCTTTCAGTACAATACACATGGACACAATGGGAGTTCGGGTTCGTCTCGGAGATCCATCTGGTGGGTGATGAGATTGTGTTTGTGCACTTAAAACAGAACAAGAAACCTATCAAACGAGAAAGAAACATCTTTTGTGCAGCATGGCCAGTTCGTGATTCATATTTCTCAAAATCTTCATCCTTTATGGGATGCAACAGGGACGAGGCCTCGGTTGAAATTCTCCATAGTCTGCGAGAAACTTGCAGCGTGGTAATGTTTATGAAAATCTTCAGTTTTCTCTTACCAGGAATTTGCTCCGGAGGGGGATGATGTAATTGCAGCAGCTTTCTCATCTCAAGTGTCCATTCCGTGCCAAAGTCAGTTTTGCTTGAAGTATGAGTAAAATGCAAAGACTCCAGAGAAGCTTGTAAAAGCTGAAAATTTTATTTTTATCATCAATTTTAATTGTTGTGAAAGTACGAGAAGACTAAAATAGGAATACTTTCATCATCTGTCGCTTTGGCCGAGTGGTTAAGGCGTGTGCCTGCTAAGTACATGGGGTTTCCCCGCGAGAGTTCGAATCTCTCAGGCGACGAGATTTGTTTTGTAATTTTTTTTCTCCTTGGATAGACTATGGCGACGAAGGCGATAGCTGCTATGGCGCTCGGCTCACTCTCGCCCTCGCTCCGGTTCGATTGCTGTTTTTTTTTTCATGCCATTACGCTCGTCTGACCCAACGATGGGGATCGCAGCTCTAACGCGCCCATTGCCATGGCGTCCATGGCAGGTACTTCTTTGCGTGAGAATTCTAGGAATTTTATCTTTGATTCAACCGGCATTGCCATTTCCAGAGCCCAAGTGGAAGCAAAAGGTGGCTGCCGCAGAGGAGAACATAGAAAGAATCAAGAGAGAAACTCTACAGGTATTTTTCTCTTTCTAGCTCTTCCATTTCCTTGGAAAGTTTGGATGCGTAACAATGCAATGCAGGCTCAAGAAGAGTATAAGAGACGGCAACTACAAACGCAGGGACGTGAGCTAGCATCATCTAAAGAACTCGTTTCTCTGGAGGACTTGGAATTTCTTCCGTATCTCACGGAAGACGGGATGATTCTCGATTGTAGCCAAGCTGATGCAAAAGCCAGTGTCTACGCTGTTTTCGACGAGAACAAGGTCATAAACTACATTGGAATCTCAAGGCAGGTTTGTAGGTTCCTCCTTTTCTTTGAGTTCCAACGCAAGAGATCATCAAACTTTACGGCAGATCCATCCGAGCATGAGGCTACACTTTGCTCGAGTTCCACAAAAGTGCTATTTTGTCAAAGTCTATCACGTAACCAAGCCAAGCCGGTCCATTTTGGAGCTCACCAGGAACAAGTGGATGGCCGAAAGTCCAGTTCCTCCACCCGGAAACACCGATAGCGAGCAGCAAAACATCTGGGAGAATCCACTGGATTGCAAGCCTCTAATGACAGGTAATAACTTTTTTCTATGCCAGGATTCATGTTTTTCTCGATCTATCGATTGATCGACTGTAGACGAGGAGATCAAACTCCACGAAGAAGCAGGCCAGGGACCTCCCAAAGCCAAGGTTCTCAAAAACGTAGCCAGGCGGATCGAAAAGTCTCTGGTGGCGAGCTTCGACAGTAGAAACTGCAAAGAGACACTGAGATTCGACCCAAAGTTGAAGGAACAAGGTCTGCTCGACTTGAAAAACGAGCCAAAGAAGCCAGACACGTCCATACCATCGACAAAGCTCAAATAAACAAAGAAAAGGAGAGGAGGAAGACGAAGAAGAAGACAAGCTTGCTACAGCAACTTAAGTTTGGAGGAAACTTTTTCTAAGAATTTTTTCCTAGCTAGGAGGAGTCAATCGTGGCATGGAGATTAAGATTCGAGCTGGAGGTCCCAGCCACCAACACTGAAGTTGGCATCACAGCCATTTTACAATGTTTTTCCTCCTTTTTGACTGAGCAATGGTGGAATTTCAACCTCTTTTCTTGGACATAATTCTTGCGTACAGTGGTTTGTCTCTTACATGAATGAGTGATCAGTGAGAAGAGAAAAGAAGACTTCTAGTTACAAGCATAGGATCTGTGCAAAGGACGAGACGAGCAGAGCCAGAGTGAGAGCCAAGAACACCGTGAACATGATCCATTTCCTCTTGAATTTGCCAATGTAGTCATCGTCCGGCTCCTGGTACCTCACCTCCACCTCCTCCTCGCGGATCAAGTCCATGGAGCTCGATGTGATCCTCCGGAGCTTGTCCGTCGCGACGCCCATGGTGAGCTTGTGGCACCTCCGCTGGTACTTGAACGCGTTGATACACTTGAGCGTCTGCGCCATCCCCACGTAGAAGATGGCGGTGGCGAGCAAGCAAATCCCAATTGGAGCCCAGCAGTGGCGGCACTGGATCACCGAGGACCGCGCCACGCCGTCGAAGAGGATCGCCAGGAACACGAAGAAGATGCCAAACATCCGCCACAGCTCCTTCTTCTGCGCGTCCACCGCGCGCTTCTTCTCCAGCGTCTTCTCGAAATGCGCCTGGATGATCGACTGGAGCGTGTCGCAGGCGGCCTGCCGGGGAATGGCGATTGCCGGGTGGCAATTCTGCCCATCGAGGAGCTCAATTGAGTGCTGCTCTTGCTGCTCCAATTTCTTCCGTTGCATCGCTGCCTCGTTCCTTTGCTCGAGCGCCATCGCCCACTAAATAGCTCTCTCCCCGCGAAGAAAGAGTTTGAGATCTGACGGTCACCGTCGCATCGCGTCAGCACTGCGAGTGCCATAAAGACGCGGATATTCCACACCACCGCTTGCCTTAGTGCGCTGATTCCTCCTCTTTCCTCCTCTTCTTGTGATGCTTGCTATGGTGGCGCTTGCTTTCTCTTTTCTCCTTCTTTTTCTTCTTCTCGTCCTTGAGGCTCGCGATGAGAGCTTTGGCTTCTTCCACCGTAGTAACGCTGTCTGGGAGATGGCTTCGTTTCTTGCTCGACTTGGATGCGCTGTGCCTGTTCTTCTCCTTGTCTAGAGTTTCTTCCGCAAGTACTGTCGATGGCTGTGGCACTGGATCCTCCAGAGCTTCCTCTGGAAGAAGCTCGTAAGTTTTGTCACCGGTGGCGTAGCATTCGGATTTCAAGTGGCCGTGACCGCCGCACCGCGAGCAAGAAACGTTGTAAACAGCATCAAGAGTAACCTGGCACACTCCAAATACATCAGAACTACGAAGAGAAAAGATAAAAATCTCACTTTGGAACGAGCAGGACGAGATGGCCTTGATTCGTTGAGCTCGGCCTGGAGATTGTTTGGATCCAAGTCTCTTCCATCGGTCTGCCCAACAAGCTTCATCGAGCAACCGATCTTCACACTTCCATCTTCCTCTCGTCTCACGGCGATAATCTTCACCCATATCTCCTCTCCTTGCCCGGCAATCGCTGCCAAAGCTTGCATTTTCACCTCGTCCGAGTCTTCCCGCTGCGTGACCTCGTGATTGCTCACTTGCGAAAGATGGACGAGCCCGTGAGCTCGATAGCCTTCTAAACGAACAAACAAACCAAAGGGTTTCACCGAGTGAACTCGTCCCCTACAAATCGAGTAGAGCTCCGGAAGCTCCTGACTTGCTGCTGCTGCTCCATCCCCTCTTCTCCCTACATTCTCACGCCGGAAATCTCTACCTTCCTCACGCTGGAAAAACCTCCTGTCCCCGCGATCGAAATCGTCGCCAGAATCATAGCGCCTCTCTCTGCGGTCGCTGCCAAATCCTTCGCCCTCGTAGCGCCTGCCGTGCCTGTCCCCTCTCTCGCCGCGCTCGCGATCCGGCGAGCGCCTTCCCCTGCGCTCCATCTACAGAAACCCTAGCTTGCCCTAATCTAAAAAGTATGGCGGGAATCAAATTGACCTATTAGGTATATTCATGAATATCCTAAAGGTGAAATATCTTAGCTAGACTAGATGAGGGCTTTGGCGGCGCGCGCGGCCTGCGAGAATGCCTCGCATTGCCAGTGAGTAGCGAGATTGCGAATGGAATGCTCACGCAATCTTTGTTTCTTGCAGTGCCAGGGCTGTGAATTCCAGGCGCGCTGTTGGGGCTGGAATGCTCATCTTTGGATTCTCCCTGCCTACACTCCCAGGTATGAAATCCTCATTGATTTTTCTCGTTCTTTGCTCTTGCCTGCATCGATTTCGTTTCTATGCTCTTGCGTGCATGGATTTTCTTTCCGACAAATTTTCTACCTGTTTTTTTCGTTCTCTGGTGCAAGGTTTTTTTTCTTTTCCAGCTTTGATATTTGTTTTATAGCACTTGCTTTGGGAGATTCCACTGTCACACTGGAGGACGTTACTCCACCTGTAGCTCCTCGCGGCGATCTTCCACCCAGTGAGGTGAGCACATAAAAGGAGAAAAGCTTCTTTCTTTGCTTCGTTTTTGGATAGATTGATGGAGTTGTGTTGGCAGGCTGTAGGAACGGATTGCCAAACTCTTTGAAAACAACACATTCTCCGTGGTTAATGTTTTCGACACCACACTTAAACCGGAGCTCAACTTGACTGGATCAGTGGAGGTAAATGTTTGATGCAACTGAGATCACAGCCGCTGAAAAGAGTTTCTTGCTTCTTGCTAGGTTCCAGAAGGTAATGGAACAGGAATTGTGTGGGACAAAGATGGTCACATTGTCACAAACTATCACGGTCAGTTCTAGTTCTTGTTTCCTTTGTTTTTCGCCTAAGATTGGTGTTACAGTTATTGGTAGCGCCTTGTCCAAAGGCCTCGGAAAGAAAAAACCTGTGGCTCGAGTTTCACTTCTTGTGGAGGACGGGTATGGCTTGTTTTTGGTTTCGCCATTGACGACTTACTGGATGCTTTTCCGTCTTCCAGGGTTCAAAAGACTTTCCAAGCGACTTTGGTTGGCGCAGACAAGACCAAAGATCTTGCTGTTCTCAAAGTATATGATGTTTCATCGATTGTTCTTTTCGGCAGAGAATTTACCACGTCTTTCTTTTTACAGATTGATGCTCCTGAAGCACTTCTCCATCCAATCTCTGTGGGAAAATCCTCGAACTTAAAAGTTGGCCAGCGCTGCCTGGCCATAGGGAATCCATTTGGATTTGATCACACACTCACGGTGGGGGTTGTAAGTGGTTTGAATCGAGACATCAACAGCCAAACCGGAGTGATAATTGGTGGAGGCATCCAAACCGATGCTGCCATCAATCCAGGAAATAGGTGAGCTTTTTTTCTCTTTTTTTTCTACTCTGATCATTTTTGTGAGCAGTGGTGGTCCGTTATTAAACTCTGATGGAAAGCTGATCGGAATCAATGCTGCAATTTTCACTCGAACAGGTAAACTCATGGATGATTTTTTTGGTTGTTCTTGATATGATTTCTTACCACTTAGGTACGTCCGCGGGAATTGGTTTCGCTATTCCAGTGGATGCAGTGTCAAGAGTGGTGCCTCAGCTGATCAAATATGGAAAGGTTGATTTTTTGGCCTCCTTAAGTTTCTCTAACTTGTATTTTATGTCAGATCATGCATGCTGGTTTGAAAATTCAAGTCGCACCAGACATTGTTGCAAAACAGCTTAACGTCAAGAAAGGCTCACTAGTTCTTTCGGTACGTGATCTCTTTCTTCTTCATACTTTTCGAAACATATCAAAATTTCAGGTTTTACCTTCGAGCACTGCTGCCAAGGCTGGTTTAGTGGCAACGCGGCGTGGAATTGCGGGAAACATTCTGCTTGGAGATGTCATTCTTGCAGTCGACAATCTTTCTGTAAGGAAATCCTGTCTTGATTGGAGTATAGACATTTCATCCAACATGGCTTCCTCAGATTAAAAACCCAGCGGAACTAGCAAAAGCTCTGGACGATCATGAGATTGGAGATCAAGTCGTTCTTAAAGTCCAGCGCGATGACAAGGTTTTCGATATACATGTGGAGCTCGAGGAAAGTTTGAATTAATGGTAATGGTTTTCGCTGAGATCTATGCTTCTAACTTGCACAAATTTGCCAACACCACATATGATGCAGAGCTTTCAGGCTCCAACTCAAGCGCAAACTTTGCAGCGCGGCCTCCTTGCTCCGAATCATTCAGATCTTTGCAAGCGCCGAGTAAAGTCCTCCAGTCTCGATCATCAGCAACAAAAGGCATGCTTACGATCAGATCCTCCGCTTCTGTCAAGTGTCCGGCTCGGCTCAACACGTCCACCATTGAACTGTAGTGTTCCTTCTTCGGAACTAAGCCATAGTCGTCCACCATCGACACAAACCGGGATCGAGCCACCGAAAGAGTTCCTGCGTGGTTTCCTGCCAGGATCACGCTGCTGTACGTGCCATCGTCGGGCCTGAAACCTTCCAGCTGCATCAACTGGAACGTCTCCATCGACTCGCGAAAGTGCCCGTTTTGAGCGTAGCCTGCGATCATCGAGTTCCAAGTCGGGACGTTCATGTCCGGCATCTCGTCAAACACGCTCTTCGCCGTGGCAAGCTGGCCGCTCTTTGCAAATCCTGCCAGCATCGTCGTCATGGATACTAAGTTCTTCTCCGGGAGCTCGGAGAAAACCAGCCTTGCGTCGTCCATGCGGCCACTCTGCGAGAATCCTGTGAGCATCGCGTTCCAGGAAACCAAGTCATACACAGGCATTCTCTCGAAGACTTCTTTGGCTTCTTGGAGCTCGCCACCTTGGAAGTGGGCTTTGAAGAGCGACGTCCATGACACAACGTCGCGATGCCTCATGCAATCAAACACCAGCTTTGCTTCTCTTGCGTCGCCGCTGGCGGTGATCGCCACTGTGCAGCATCCCAAGCTATGCTTTGGAACTCTCCGAAACGTTTCTCTCACCACCTCCAGGCTCGTCTTGGAGCTCTCGAAGAGCCCAGCTGAAAGTGTGTTCCAGGAGATCTCGTCTCTCTCGGGCATTCGATCGAACAGCGTCTTTACCACCTCGGCCTCTCCTCGCATGGAGTACGCTGCTAAGATCCCGTTCCATCCAACGAGATCACACTCTGGGATTCTGTCGAACACTTCTCTGGCCTCTTCAATGCTCCCACTTCGCGAAGCCGCTGTGATCATAGCACACCAAGACACTTGGTTTCGTTCTGGCATGGAATCAAACAAGAGTTTTGCTTCTTCAACATTTCCGTTTTCTCCAAAGCCTCGCAACATCACCGAACACAACACAAGATCCAAAGCCGGGACTCTTTTAAACATCTCTATCGACTTGACAAAATGCCCGTATTGGGCATAAGCAGTGATCAAGGAACTCCACACTACAAGGTTTTTTTCCGGCATGGAGACAAACAAATGTTTAGCTTCGCCTAGATTTCCATTTCTTCCATACATGTTTATCATGTTTCCCCAGGTCAGATCGTTTACAAGAGGTGTTCTAACAAAGACCTCCTCGGCCGCAAGAAGATACCACTTTTGGGCAAGTGCTGCAAAAACCAGTGCCCAGAGAGATTCGTCTCGCTGACCCAGACGCTCGAAACATCTCTTTGCTTCCAGCGGCTGCTCTTTTCGAATCAATGCTTTCACCATCGCTTCTCCAGACAACGCATCTGGATCCGGCATAGCTCCAAAGATTTCCTTGGCTTGCTCGAGAGCACTGTTGACGAGACACGCCTGGAGCATCAAATTCCAAGTGTGAGTGTTTTTTTGAGAAAGGGCCTGGAAAACAGCCAGCGCATCGCCCACGCCATCGCATTTGCCATACATCTGGATGAGGAGATTAGAGAGAAAAGTTGGATCTTTGCTAAAGTGCCTGGCCCCTCCTTGGCTGCTCGAAATTTGCCTATGGATCTCTCTCGCCCTTGATAGACTCTTGCAGCCTCTTATCACGTCAATCCACTCTAGCTTTCTCATCCATGAAAATCACAAACCATGAAACCATATCAAATAAGAGGCCTTGATTATTTACAAAGTAAAAGATAAGCTGAAGGATACAAGAGGTCTCACTTTCAGCTCCTCTAAAAATTTTTGTTTTTTGTTTTTTGTTTTTTTTTTTCTTGTTCTCTCCCTTTTTCTTCTCTTTAATTATGTGAAAAATAAAATTAAAAAAATTACTCTAGCACTGTTTATGCATACATTGAAGTAAACCGTGAAACCATATCAAAACAGAAGCCTTGATTATTTACAAAGATAGAAGCTGAAGGACACAAAAGGTCATCACTTTCGGCTCCCCATAGTTATAGAGAACATACCACTGTTTTTTTTTTTTTTTGCTTGTTCTCTCTCCCTTTTATTTCAAAAAGAAAGGAAAAAAAAAAAAGTTTTACCTGTAGTGTTTATATACACAGTTTTGGATTGAAGTGTTTAGCAGCTCCAAGTGGAGATGGACACTACGGGAGTGTCATGCCAGCCCAGTATAAGTGCCTGTTCTTCCCTCGTCAGCCTATACGCCTGCGAATACAATGTGAGAAATACGTGAGCCTGATAGAGCGAGTGATCGCTCAGTCCAACATCTTTAAACCCCGACCACCGCATGAAATCCCTCCAGCTCTCGCTCCGGGCATGCCGGACGATCCTGTCGGCGCCCTCGCAGGCAAGAATGCTCCGGATCTCTCCGGCAAACATGGCGCCCTCGATGTAGATCCTGTCCGGGTCCGTCCGTGCCAGAGCCGACTCCAGGCAATCGAACACCGCCGAGTAGAAATGGAGAGCCTCCACGAATCGATCCACGAAGCTCGGAGTGTTGTGGTTGGCTTCCATCTCGGACACCGTGACAATGCGTGGATTCCATGCCCGGATCATGCAAAGTGTGCGTTCCAGCGCTGGATGGTTGCCGAGGAGACGATGGAGGAACATCGAGCAATTCACGGCCAGGCCGACATCTTGATCGTCATCGTCGCCAAGAGAGAAGGCCGAGGGATCGAGCTGGTCGGGGGAGTCTAGCCGGACGGGGTGATAGTCGAGCTTGTGGTAGCCGATGGAGGTGGCGAACTCGGTTAGCCGGCGTCCGGTGCTCTGGAGCTCGGCGAAGCTGGATCCGACGCCGGTGATGCGAAGAGGTGGAGCGTTTTCGATCTGCGAGAGCGCCTGGATGAGGCTTGGCCACTGCATGCCTTGATCGATGTCGAGATCCACGATGTGGAGCTGGGAGCAGCCTCGCAGGGACTCGAGGATGGCCTGGTTTGCGGTGAAGTGCGCGAACTTGAGGAATGGGAAGTGTTGGTAGAAGGCTCGGCGCGCAAAGGCGAGATCATCGCTGGTGGTGGCGTCGAAGATGGATGTTTTGGTGATTCTCTCGCTCAGAGCTTTGGAGATGTGTGTGGAGACTCTCTCGATCGGGCTTGAGAGGTGTGGAGGATGATCGCGACTGGAAGCAGCGAGATGATCCAGTATGAGCTTTGATGTTGCCATGTCTCCTCCTTGGATGTTCTCCACACATGCTAGCAGCAAGTGGACGATCTCCAGGCCTCTCTTCTCCTCGTCTTGTTTTTCTCCTGCTCTTTCGACCTCTTCTATTCCTTCTTCTTCTTCTTCTTCTCGTGGAGCGTCAAGCTTGCTGCCTTGATCCACGTGGTGGTTTTGCTGCTGCTCCACTTCCAGTTCCTGCCGAGTGTGACCATCGTGATCATCGTCGTCCAGCAGTAGATCTTCGAGCATGTTGAGATGATCATCGCAAGTATCATCATCGGCTGGATCCTGGAGGGAGATATCGCTGCTGGAAGTTGTCGAAGTGGGAGACAAGAGATCCAAGTCGAAATTCATGTCCTCGATCGTCTCATACTCCCAAGGCTCGTCGGAGAATCCATGTGTGTTGAAAATGGTGCTCGAGGCCTCGGAGCTGGGACTGTTGAGAGGACTGATGTAAGGGCCGAGATCCAAGACGGAGTCGGGCTCGCCGCCATAAACAAAAAGAGCCTCGAGCTCCTTTTTCGAAGGACAAAGTTCCATATCCATAAGAAGCTCCTCAGGTTGAAGTATAAACTCGTGAGAAGGTATGTGATCTTCTTGGAATGGATGATGAAACATTTTTTTCTTTTTTTCTTTTTTTGTGAGAATTGGGGGAGAGAGAAGAAGAAGCGGAAGAAAAAAAGGAAGAAAAAAAAAGAAGATGACTGTACAATGAATTCAATGAAAGGGCGTCGTGGGAGAAATATAGCAGCGGATTCGAGCGGAAGAAAACAAACACTGCCAGGAACAGTGACGAGGAAGAAGAAAAAAGAAAGAAAGTTGGTCGAGAGGAAGAAAAGGACGCAAGGAAACTGACACGCGGGGAATGTGTCGGAAAGAAATGCCGGCGTAGATCTGTCACGGGGCTCGAGAGATGGATTCGATCCAGCTCCCGGCTCTCACACAAAAATCTCCACCCGCTGGTTGCTACAAGAGGACGAAAGGATTCTCACGGACACGCGAAAGTTGGCGTTGCTCGCGATCGATCAAGTGTAAAACTGTCCCGGAAGAGGCGTTTGCGTGTTCGAGTGAAACAAAAGCGCCGCCTTTGTCGGATTGCTACGAGCGGAGAGGAGCGCTGAGCGTGTCGTAGTGTATACTTTGATTGCATCGAGAGCCTTGAGCGGTCATTGATCGAGACACGGCGAAGCATTGTCTGCATCTGGAGGAAGAGAAATCCTTTTTTTTTTCCTGCCTTTCCATTTCATCCCGTGTTGAATTCTCCATGTTCCAGTTTCCTGTTCCTGTCCGTGTCCCTGTTCCTGTGTGTTTTCTTCGTCAAGTTGTTGTTTATGTTCACTCTTTTGTCGATCCAAACGCTAAAACCTGGATCTGTATCCCGGAGCTTTCTCACGAGTGAATTCTTCCACCTTGGTTTAATAATTCCCAGCTGAACGCGGTGCTCTTCGCTCTCGCGGCTGCTCAATGCAACGTAGATTGCTCGTGAAGAGAAAGACATCTACCTGCGAGTGTTTCATCCTCTGCTGTTCTTCGGTACCGATCCACTCGATCATTCTCTTTTCTCTCTGCTGCTTTTTGCCTGCTCAAACATCCCCACACTCTCATAGATGTTTGCCATGACAACGTACGCACCGCAATCTCGCTTGTCCAGCTCCAGCAGCGATTCAAACGCGAGCTTTCCCACCTCCACATTCTTCCACTTCCTGCAACCATCTAGCACTGTCATCCATGACACCGAGCTCGCTCGAAATGGCATCGAGCTTACCATGGACACCGCCTCCTCCAGCGAGTTTGCTCGTCCCAGCATGTCCACCATGCAGTGGAAGTGTTCTATGCTCGGAGTGACACCAAACTTTGGAACCATTGCCTCAAAGTATTTCTTCCCTCGGTCGCTCAATCCCGCACGACTGCAAGCCGAGAGAACACACAGCAAAGTTACCTCATTTGCTTGAATTCCTTCGTCCCGCATCCTGTGAAACCAGCACAAAACCTTTTCAGTATCACCTTGATGAGCGTAGCTAGAAATAAGAGCAGTCCAACTTACCACATCGTTCCTCGCGAGAAGATCAAACACTCGCTGTGCCTCGCTCGAACTGCCGCATTTTCCATAAGAGTCCACCAGGCTCGTCCCCAGCGCAGGGATACTTTCGCATCCACTCTTGCAAATCTCTCCGTGAAAAAACTTGGAGCTTCTCAAGTTGGCAACGCTCGCACAAGCCTTTAAAACCGAGTTGAAAGCTTGAGCGTTTGGTGTCAAACCCGGAGTTTTCTCCATTTCTTGCAAGAAAAGCTCGAGTCCCAGCTTCCCCTGTCTGTTGTTTGCATAGCCCAGAATCAAAGCGCTCCACGAAACAGCACTCCGGTGTGGGATTTTCTCAAAGACCCTGCGGCCATCTTCAGTGCTACCACACTTCACGTACATGTCTACCAGAGTGTTTGCTACAAAGTGATCGAGTTCGCAGCCGGATATCGCTGCTCCAGCGTGGAGAGCCATGCCTTTCTCCAAAGAATCGATTTTGATGCCAGCTTTTCCATCAAACTCCTTGCCTTGTTCTTTAGCTGCCAGAGCACTGCAAGCCTTTAGAGCAGCAACATAACTTCGAGAGTTTGGCTTGGGCATGCTCGAGAAAAGCCCCAAAGCTAGATGCTCCTCTCCGTTGTCTGCGTATCCCAGGATCAAAGCGTTCCAGGATACAACGTCGCGATGGGAACTTCTGTCAAAAACATGCCGGGAATCCTCTACGTCTCCACACTTTGCATACATATCCACCAAAATATTCCGCACAAACACGTCCGAGACACTGCCACTTCTCTCCGCTTGCGAGTGAAGAGCCATGCCTCTCTCCAAGCTCGCCACCTTCACATCAGACTTCTCCACTCTAGTGCTCGACTCAAACTCGGCAAGAACAGCACAAGCCTTGATCGCCGCGACGAAAGTTCGAGAGTTTGGAACACTCCCCTCCCTTTGCATGCTCGAGAAGAACTCCAAAGCCAGCTCCGGCTCCTCGTTCTCGGCATGTCCCAGAATGATCGCATTCCAAGTTACCACGTCGCGAACTCGCATTCTGGAAAAAACCCGGCGCGCGTCAACCAAACGTCCACACTTGGCATAAAAGTCGATGAGCGAGCTCGAAACAAACATGTTGGATTCGCAGCCAAACTTTGCAGCTTGAGAGTGAATCCATCGCCCTCTGTCGAGAGCTTTCCCCCTGATCGAGAGCTTTTTCCCATCCGAATCTGTCGAAGACTCTCCTTCTTGGAGCTCGCTGGAGCAAGCCTTGATCGCAGCTACGAAGCTCCGAGCATCCGGGTCACAGCCGCTATCTTCCATCATCCGCGAGAAAATCTCTAAGGCCTTGCCTCCCTGGCCAGCGTCCACATACCCTTGCATCAAAGCGTTCCAGGAAACCACGTCCCGGAGTAGCATCCCATCGAAAACGCTGCGAGCGTCGTCGAGGCTCCCGCATTTGCAGTACATGGTGATGAGGGAATTGGCCAGATTAACATTCCTGGAAAGGAGGATCGCTCCTTGCGAGTGGATCACTTTCCCCCATTGCAAATCCTTGGTCCTGATGCAAGCTTTCAATGATGCGTGGACAGATTCGATGTGGGTTGCGTCATGCGTGACAAGATTCGCGTTGGAGGCTTGCCGAGATACTGGGCTGTTGCATCCGGTCGGGGCAAGAGACAAGGCGCCGCATAAAGATTCGGCAACAACTGGGACGCTACAAAACATACCTCTGTCGTCCATCGCATTTTAGGGTTCATCTTCCTTTTCACTAATTTTAATAATAATATCAAATGATGTATATTTATATGTACAACACATGTTAAATGTAAATCCTTAACTTAATTAATAGTGGAATATAAAAAGGGAATATAAAAAATATGCATATTAATTAGCCCAAAAACCCTAACTTGTATATGAGTGGTCCGTATTAAAACCAATTCAACAGCTACCAAAATCCCACTACACTAATATTAATATATGGCATCATAGCTATACACTTGGATATCACATTATCCCCTCCTCTCAGAATAATGAAAGATCATTAAAATTTTCTCGTAGATGAGCCGGGATCTAAAGGAACATAAAAAAAAGGCATTTATAGATGTATAGGTGGTACTAGTTCTTTTTAATCCCTTTGTACGAAGAAGGATCGGCTTACTAAACGTCATGCCAAACCTCATAAACTTACAATCCAACTTGCTGCAACATCTAATACAATCCTTTCTACTAAGCAAGGAGCCTCTTAGATAAACCACATATCATAAGAAAATGGACTAACACCAAATCATTCACTTTGTACTCCACAAGTGGATGATGATGAGAGCTGTAGCGTTGTTGTTCTCCCATTTATATGCAACCCAAGTGTTCGGCAAACTCTACTCGGATAAATGAAAGAATGCTCGTCAAATATTGATCCCACGACCTAGCATTAATAGCTCGTGGTAATCACAAAGGTCAACCTGTAGCGCACCTTATCTATCTCCCCTTAAGCCAACTGGAAAAGGGGCAATTGCTTGATGAGAGAGCCCTTAGTGGCTATTTTATCCCCCAAGGTTCCAAGGATCCACGGTGACAGTATATCCAAATCTCATCCCATGATCACATGCGCTACACAACCCAACTTTGTTGATAATATTGGATCATGACCATATAAGAGTTTTTATGGTGAAGCACTAACAAAACTCTACACCCTTATGACATATGCATACTAAAGAAATAACAAATAACCATCTCAATCCAAATGCTAAAAATTCACGTACTTCGTGATCATCCCTTTGAATGTTCGAAAAAGCTGTTCCACCAAACTGTTTGACTATGGATAATAAACACTCATGAAAGTGTGGCATATCCCTAATTAAAACGTCAAAACATGAAATACTTTAGCCATAAATGTGGGACTATTATCCAAAAGAATTCGCTCTGGACAAGAATGTTGGAACACCACTCGATTGAGGAGGAAGTATTTAACATCAATTGCAAAGGCACTAGCAAGAGCACCAACTTTCACTCAGCAAATCAAGTAGTCAAAAGCAATAATAACATATTCATTGCCAAAAGTCGATCATGAAAAAAGTTCCATAAGATCAAATGCCACCAACTTAAACAGATGAGAAATTGCAATTAACTCCAATTGTCCTTCCATAGCACGAGGGGGAGTATTATAAGCTTGGCACTAAATGTAGTTATGCATATACCAAATAACATCACGTTGCATCTCCGACTAATAGAAAGACTTGTGTAACTTCTCAATCACACAATGATGTCCTATATGCCTGCCTAGAATAAGAGAATCATGGTAAGTATGGAGAAACCATGGAATAAAAATTAAAGGCACCACCAACGATAAATGATTATCAAGGTCTGTCCCCACAAAATAAAGAAAGCCATCCTCAAAGCGATATTAAGAATGTAAATGCCAGAATGGTAAGTCATCAGCAAATGATGCACCACCGACTATATAAAATTCTCGTATAGAAAATCTATAAATGCTAAAATAATAGGCTCGTCAGAAACATGAGAAGAGAGCAAAGAAATAAAAGAAGCTTAAGAAAGGGCATCAGCATCAACTATAAAACTCCTCGAACAATGAGCAATATCAAAATCATATATCTAAAGCTTCAAAACCCACCGAACAGTACGACTAATCAAGTTCTTCCACTTCAATAATAAAGTAACAGCAACATGATCACCTTCCAATAACATCTGAGAACTATGTAGATATGCATAAAGTTTCTTAAAACCGTAAACTCTTTATCATTGAGTAGTTTGCTTCCACTAGTTGTAATGTACAACTTATATATGCAATAAAATAGCACTGACCAAGTAGATTCAAGCTTTTTTTCATCAATACACTTCAAAGACCAATATCAGAAGCATCCATGCGCAAAATGAAAGGTCGAGTGTAGTTAAAATACACCAAAACCAGAGGAGTCGTCAATAGCTCCTTGAGATCCATGAACGCTCGCTCACAATCCACAGACAAGATGAAAGATGATGTTAATGACTTCAATAACGTTTGTAACGGTGCAGTGCAATCAAAAAAATGATTCACAAAACGATTAAGATATTGCACTTTACTCAAGAAGCACTACACATCATTCACACACTTCGAAGTAGGGAACTTTGGAATAGCCACAAGTTTATTAGGATTAACTTGCAAACCCTCACGAGAAATACGATACCCAAGATAAGTCGTGTCCTTGAACCCAAATATGCATTTCGACTGCTTCAACTTTAAACCAACTTATTGTAGCCAATCTAACACTTTACGAATATCATGGACGTGTTCTTCCCATGTCCTTTCCAAGTGGATTAAGACATCATCCCTTCTGAGTGGATTAAGACATTATCGATGAAGTCAATACTCACTTTTGGCATATCATAAAGAACTTTATCCATCATCCGCTGGAAAGTTGCTAAAACATTATTCAAACCAAACAACATCACCAAGAACTCGTACAAATCAAATGATATACAAAAAACAGTCTTAAGAATATTTTCTTCGGCCAAAAGCAAAATCTAACTTGATGAATCAACAATTTTTCCCCAAACAATCCAAGATATCAGTTGTGTGAGCAAGAGGGCACACATCTAGGATCATCACTACATTTAACAAATGATATTTAATGTAAAAATAAATACTCCCATCAGGTTTAAACTACTATCAACTACCCCCACCAAACACTTTCCAGATTCTTTGTTTCTCAAAATGCAAACAAAGAGAAAAATGAGGCCACCACCTTTTCCAGTTTGCTGTGAGGTCTTAAAAGGCAAGCCCCATAGTATCCCTCACCTGCAAACAAAGCAACCGAGAATCCTTGACTCCCCACAAGCTCTATTTCGTTAAAGTGGGAATTGTCATTATCCCACTTGTAAAATAAGGTTTCCAAACCTTTATATAGTATATAAATATAACAAAATTCAACTGCATTGAGGCACATGCCATTTTATTATAAACAAGGAAATGTCTACTCAATCACTTCTCACTGCTTCACCTCTCTCTTCTCCTTGTCATCGTCGTCCAATTTCTTTCCATCCTTTTAATATTGGCTCAGTTGCTCCGAGTCTAGGTGGAGCCCAAGTCCCCATTCAATCTTTACTTTCCCCTTATTAATAAAACAACTTCGTAGACTTCCAATAACATGCTGTAACACTTCTAGTATAATGCAAATCCTCTCAAAGAATTGTCTTTTAATATTAATACAATGGCATGGAACCCCATGCCATAATAAGTTACATTTTTAAATAAATACATGCCATCTCAGACTGTTATTTTTTGCCTCCAACGCCTATACAATAATCTTGGAATTTCATCACTCTCCACACTATCAGGATTTAAACCCAATAGTAATGCCATCTCTTCTCTAATACGTCCACGCTCATGTTCAGTGGTCGAAGAACCCATCCGGTTGAGCAGATTATGGAGATGCGGATAGTGCTTGGCTAGACAATATACATGCCATAAATGATGACTGGTGTCTGTCCGATCAAATGGCTTCTGATATACCGTTCCATCTGCCATTTGGTTGATTTCTGCAGCCACCTCCTGGACTGGCCGGTTCTCTATCACCATCGCTTCAAGCCGTTTTGCAAGGTCCCCCAGAACATACGGTTTCTTCTCCCTAGTTTCCATACTGCAAGAGATGGGGTGCACTGCATATGTGTGCGTGTTCGCTGCAGTTTTAATCGGCGAGTCATCGATGATGAGGATTTCACTTGACCTAGCAGTCCGGTTCATCACTACAGCCTCTGCCTTGACGAAGATGGGCTTGCTACCCCTCACATGGACCATAGTCAAGCAATCCTCCTGCGTTAGGAGAAAGTCAAATGGTAATATTACTCGCGTCTGATCGTGCATCATCTGTAGCAACGTTAATGCATTGTGGCGCATCATGGATGTCCAAACTCCCAATTGCAAATTGAACCCGGCCCTCTGTTTTAAGTGTCGCATGGTCATTATTAGATCCCGCAGTTTCTCCCGTGTGATTAATGTGAATCTGTCTCTTTTGACCAACTTGCGACCGCAGGCTTTGGAGGGTGCAGTGACATTCGAGGACGAGCCACGCTCATGGGAGAAAAGGACACCGTTCAGATCAAAAACGATACAGTACTTTCGCCGTGACTCTGAAATGAAATGCGTTAGCATAAAAAATGGTACAAGTCAATTTTACCATCTACAATATTAGCGAATGGTGCTCCCGATGGTCGTTCAGAGGGTTTTGGTCGAGGAAACGTGAAGGGCAGAAATACTCTCCTCTGCAATGTGGGGTCAATCGCATCCGATGGCGTGTGGGCACATGCCATTTCAGCTGTAGACTCTGGTACAACTGGCTCAACAGTGGCATGGGGTGGTTCCGATGGCGTGTGATCACACGCCATTTCAGCTGGTGCCTCCGTTGGCAAAGTGGACATGACCGAACAGGCAGCAGGGGCGGTGTAGGGAGGTTCCAACGGCGCGTAGTCAGACGATTGGGCACACGTTGGAAATGAGGATACGACCGGCTCGGCGGCTGGGGCGGCCTCATGCGGGTCCAATGGCGCCTGGTCACCGTCAGTTGGATACGTGGACAAGATTGACTCAGTGGTATGGGCAGCATCAAGTGGAGCGTGGTCAGCTTGCTTGGCGTTGATATGGATAGTAGCCTCCACCAGCTCTGATGACTCTTGCATGCAAGTAGAGTCCACTGGCGGATCCATATGCATGTCCAAATATCTCCCTTCGATTGAGATGGTATCCTCCCGTGCTACTA